GACAGTGGCACTGATCTTGCCAATCCCTCCAGGGATGAGATACTGTTTTTGGTTTCCTTTTTCTTACCAGGGCGAAAGCAACTCCAATAGCTTCCATTTGGCCTTTCCAACATAAGAGCTTTCACACTATAGATTAAGGAACCAACGTGAGGATACAAAGTATATCTATCCCAATTATGCATTCTGGAACAAGGGAAATAACTACAGTTGAATTTGAGGACCCAGTGGGCCCACTGTGAGTTGGACCTTTGTGAAAACTCCATTGATCACCTGACCTCCACAGTGGTTGGGGAAATGTCTTCCTCTGGCAAAACAATCTTATTAGAGTTTAGGAACTCGACATCCTCAGGCTCCTCAGGATCCTCCCAAACATCTCCTTCCCAGTTTATGGGGTCCTATTCTTTTCTGATCAGTGCCCTCACCTTTGTGTCAGATACCCTTTAAGATTGAGCATTAAACTTATGCTGTATTTCAGCCAGTTGAATTACTAAGGCCTGTGTTTGGGTTTCTATAATCTCAGTCCTACAGCTAAAGGAGAAGAGATTCTTTTGTGGCACACTCAGAAAATTCTAAATGTTTTATTTGTGTGTGGAACTGGAAATTTGAATCTTTGAGCTCTTTATTTTCTTATGGATGTTGTGGACTCATTTTTTTCCTTCTAGTTTGTCTAGAAATGCTAAGAGTAACCAGCCAGCATCATTATATTTCCCACCCTGCCAAAATATTCAAAAGTTTCATATACGGAGTCACTACATTCCTTATATTTCACAAGTGGTTTACTGGGATAATCAAATGGATCTACTACATTCCTCATAGTATTAGAAGGAGAAACTAAGGTATCTTTAATTTCATCAAATTAGAGAGGCAACTCTAGGAATCCCCTAAAGCCATTAAAGAATTTCATTTTTACAGTTCTGTTTCTCTAGAGCCACCCTACTTCTTATTTTAAGGATAAAAGGAGGGAAACATTAACAGACATACAACATTTTACAACATATCACAAGCACAATACAGACAATACAGAGTTACAAACAAAGTGGTAGGGAATTAACAATGGTGGTTGTATTACATATTGATATCTTGATATCTTCAAAGTGGCTTCTCATGAAAACAGATATAGACATGCAATACTGGTCAACCAAAGACTCATTGACAGTTTCTTTCAGCATAGAAACAGCAGATAGAAGAACAACCATGTTATCTATCCTGTATATACATACATACAAAATTTCTCCTTCTTTCCCTTCTCTTTTCCCACATCCCAGAAGCCCTTTACTCTTCGGTGAGCCACCCTACTTCTGGGGTCAAAATCTGTATCAGTCAGTGCTTACAAGAGAAACAGACTTAATGCAACATATACAAATATATAAGAATTTACAAGATTGGCTTACAGCGGCCACCCACAGAGTCAGGTATGGAAGAGTGCAAAAGGGCTGTCTGCATGCTGGAGATCTAAAGGATTCAGTCAAAGGCCTGGAGTTCACTGTAGTGTCCCATGGAAGTCTGTATCCGGAGGCCAAAGGGTCTGTGCTGGAAGCCAGGAGATGATGTCCGAGATGAAGGTGAAGACTGGAGCTCCTCCAAGAAACAGAAGCAAGCCTTCTTTCTTTCCCTTCTAAACCATTTAGGCTGCAAGCCCATTGGTTGCTGTCACTCATGCCCAGTAAATCCCAGAAAATCTTCAGTAAATCCCCTCAGATAAGCCCAGAACTACGCTGCTCCAATTTAGTTGGGCATTTCTTATTCAAACTGACACAGTTAGGTGACTATCACAGTGATCTTTTCCAACAGAGTGCCCTGGGGTGCTCTTCTCAAAGCAAAGCCTTTCACTTTTGCAATTTCAGGGATGCAAAAGGTGAGACCTTGCTGGTTCCTCACATTCCCTTGAGGCATGTTCTGTCTTGTTCCAAAGTACTTGATTTTCTTTTCATTCTAATCTTTTCAGCAACCAAGCTCTCCTCTGTTGCATCTATGTGAGCCCCAAGTTTACCAGAACTCCCTCCTGGCCAAACTCAAAATTTTTTAACCATTCCTCTGGACCTTTTGCTCTTGAATCACAATGGAGAGCTGGATAAAAGTCCCCAACAGTACCCAAGCCACAGCCTGAATGTTTGGCTGCTTTGAAATTTCCTCAGCCAGATTAGTCTGCTGCACTTGATCTCAATCTCCTGCAAAAATTTAGGATGTGAGCAAAATGTAGACAAATTTTCTTCCAAAGTATGAAACACATGGCCTGGAGTCCAGCTGCTAGTGGAGTCCTTCTTCCCAACTGAAACTTCCTGAGCCTGATCTTTGCCTTCTGCTTTTCCATCAGCATTCTATTCTGGTCTTCTGAGCTCTGACAGACTCTCCCATCGAGCTTAATTTACAGCATTCTAGGGCTGATTTTTACTCAGCATCACCAAACCTTTCTAAATTCCTCCCATGAACCAATTCCACATGATCGGGTGGTGTCACAGTGATGACCCTACTTCTGGTACCAAAATCTGTCTTAGTTACATTCTCATTGCTGAGACATAATACCCAACAGCCATGACTTAAAGGAGGAAAGGTTTACTTTGGCTCATAATTTGTAGAAGTTTCAGTCCATAGTCAGCTGGCTCCAAGGCAGGGCAGCATAGCAGAGGGGCATGGCAGAAGAAAAGCAGTTCATGGCATGGTTACAGAAGCAGAAATAGATCAAGGGAGGAGGGAGGGAGATAGACCCTTCCAAGCCACACCCCTAGTGACCCACCTCCTCCAACCAAGCTTTACTTCCTGACATCATATGCAGCTATAAACTCATCAGTAAACTAATCCACTCATCAATATCACACCCCCATGATCCAGTCATCTCCCAGAAGCCCCACCTATAAGCTCATGGGGCTTTCGGGTGGCACCTAGATATAACCCTTAACATCTAGCATTGCTTATTATTTTAGCACATATCACTCCTTGAAACTGTATTACTCTTGTGTTGGTTTATCATCAACCTCCCCTCTAAAATATAAAATCTATGAGAGTGGTGTCTTTGTTCACCGCTGTAGACCCAGTGCTTGGTACTTTTCCTGGTGCACAGTAGATGGTCAGTAAATACTTTGTTAAATGCACAAATACAGTTATGTGTCACTTAACAACTGAGATATATTCTGAGACTTCTGTCATTAGGCAATATAATATTATGCAAACATCTTAGAGTGTATTTATGCAAACTAAGATACCTATAATATCACTAAGTGATATAATTTATGTCATCACTGTTGTCTATGCAGTCCACTGTTGAATGCAACATCACTGTGTAGTATATGCCTTATATATTAGGTACTAAATAAATTCATTCATGCAAAGATCTTTTGACTACATAGAATAGGCCAGGTTTTTAATATTTATTCAATAGATCAATTGCTCTCATCCAGCATAGTTCGTGTATACAGATTTTTTTTGTATTTGTGCATGTGCGTGTATATACTTGGATGTAATGCAGGAAGTGTCTGTCCAATTGTCATAAAGCACTTGGACTTCAGAGTTAAATCTAAGCTTAAATCCTTACTACTGGTTTCCAGGTATTCAACCATGGACAGATTTTTTAACTTAGTCTCTAAAGCTCAGTTTTCTTCTGCAAAATGGGGATTTTAATTATGTATCATACCTGTTTTCAAACATACTTAGAATCTGCTATGGGGATGAAGAAATGTAAATTAAATATATTACAAGACCTACAATAGCTTTCTAATTTTTGTCTGGACAGAAGTGACTAAAAGTATACCTCAATGCCTTCATGTGGCAGGGGGTGTCTATGACAACTTTTGATCTAAATAAATAATTCTCCTATTAGGTTATACTTTCCATAAAGGCAAAGATCTTGATTTTTCTGTATTTCTCTGTATCTCTGTAAACACTTGTTTATTGTTTATGAATAAATGCTCACATTGTTAGACACAATTATTTTGGATAACAATGGGCATTTTGTTACTGGCTCAATTATGAGAATATCAGCAAAAACAAAATAGATGGCATCAATTTAAGAGCTAGGTTTTAAGAGTCTCAACCTTTAGGTGGCCTTAAACTATCCAGAGACTACATTCGAGTGACTAACTGATAATGCAGGAGATTGGAAGCCAGAGTTTATCACCTCTGAACATCAGAACAAACAGTCACAGAGCACATGCCAGGCTTAAGGCTGGGGCAGTCTTGCAGATGAGGCGCCCCACAGTCAAGCTCAAATGCACCGTACATAGGTACACCCAAGTACACGCATGCAGCTGCCTCCCACTTAACACAAGAAACACATACAAATTAATCTTGTTTTCAGTGATTTATAGGGACTATTTAAGTGAGCTCTCAGTAATCTTCTGATAAAAGCAGAAAGTTCTTCACCAATGGTGATAGTATTTGCACTGTGCTTTATAAATGCTGGAAGCTGACAGATCCGTATAAGTTTGCTTCAGACTTCACATACTTGTATAAATAAACCTTCTACTGCTGTAGAGAGAAGTAATTGACTTTGTTTGTAGGTGGAGTTAGCAGGGTTTTTAGAACAAAGTGTTTACTACGAAGTCATGAAAAAGAATCACTGATGGCTATCAGAACAAAAGAGAAAAGGGATGGTAGGCTGGGTGGTGGCCCTGCTCTACTTTCTAACAGCTTCTTGTACAGGAAAGAAATCTGCAGTCTCCAGACTCCACCCCTTTCCTAGGTGTGTGATGCTGACAACTGAGGCAGAGTGTAAGACTCAGCTCACTTCACCCTCCTTTGGGAAAACAGATCACGATATATGTCATTTGACAGTAGCTTGGCGGGGGTTACAGCATAAATTTTGGTTGAATAAATAAATATGCTACAGTTGTTTAGGACATTATCCCCCAAGCTTATAAATCCTTGAGAAAGTATGTTCACCCACTTCCAGAAAAGGGGACAGAGGCCTCTGTTACATGATCTTGTGCAGGCCCTGAACTCAGCTTGTTTGTAAGACAAGTCCAGATTGGCTGGTTCTCTAACTTCTTTTGCTTTTATCACTGCAGCTTCTTCAGGAAGATAAAATGGAGAAGCTTGAGGAGATTGTCGAAAAATATCCTTGTGCCTTTCCTTGCTGGGTTGGACCCTTTCAGGCATTTTTCTTTATCTATGACCCAGACTATGCACAGACGTTTCTGAACAGAACAGGTAAGAAAAGGGACAAATCCTGGGGACCTATCCCTCCTAGGAGTGAGTCTCACATGACCCACAGGGAGCATCTGAAGCTAAGATTAGTACTGGGTTGAAGAGATCTGGGAGTGAGAGAGGAGGCAGATCCCCTCCCCCAGTGAAGGGCATTCCCATGTCCTCCCCAGCTCCCTGTCTACCTCCACTTCCAGGGCCCTTTGATGCCTAGCTGGCTTTCCCAGACTGGCCAGGGGCTTATTTTGTCTCTCGGTTTTATGATTTTATGCTAGCCACTGTCCACCTTACCTTATCTTGAACATAGTCTCTAGGGAAAATCAAAAGTAGCTCTGCCTCTGCTGGCTCAATATGTAGCACTGGATGCTCAAACACTCTTTCTCCAGTCCAGCCTCTTGACTGTGACCCAAAATGTGTTTTCCTTTTGTGCATGTTTCTCAACTATGTTCCTTTTGGGGCATGAGTCATCCACCTCCCCATGAAATCCTTTTGCAAGACAGACACAATCTTATAGAACAAAACTGAAATGGCCAATTTCTGCTGTCAATTTTGTTTTTTTAAAAAGTGTCTTGTATTCTCATCTCTGTTGTGCTTCACATCCCTCATCCTTAATAAATCTAAGAATAGGCCTTTCTTGGAAGGTCTTCATGTTTCCAATCCCTATTCTGATTTCTCTCAAGTTCACCTGGTAAGGACAAGAGCTGTTAGCATCACAAGAACCAAGAGGTATTTGTACTTCACTTTTTGATGTCTGCCAGCACTGCTTTATAGTCAGTTTACCTTCCAAAAAGGATATACATTGTCCAGACTCCTGGTCTAGAAATGTGGTGACCCTCAGACAATCATTTTTCTGTTACAGGAAGTATAAATAAGGGAGAAATATGGGTGTTAGTAGATATCTCCCTCTTGGAGCTTGCTATTCTTTGGTACTAAACCAAGACTTATGGTACTCCCTGGCCTCCAAGCACTGCAGGAAGTACCCAAGGGCTTCCTTTTGCTTGCTATTTGTGGTGAGTGCTGGGAAATGAAAAAACATTTCCCTGACTTTAACTGGTAATGAGTGCTTTTGCTAATACTGTCTTTTGTTTCCCCTGCTTGACTTTGCAGACCCCAAGTCCCAGTATCCGTACAAGTTCATGACCCCATGTCTAGGTATGTATGTGTCAGTGAGATGTGCAATGCACTCAGACTCCAAGTCCCCTTCCCATAGAAGAACATTCAAAAGAGATTCAAAATCTATCCTTTTTTATGCCAGAATAGCACTCCATTATATTTTCTCTACCTAAAAGCAGTTGATGGATATATAGACTGTTTCCAAGATTTAGCTATTATGAGTTGTGCTACTATTCATTTGGGGAAGATAGATTAACCCTGAGATCATAATGTTAAGTGAAATAAATCAGACTCACAAGCTTAAATATTGCATAACTTTTCTTATATGAGAAACCTAAAATATAAATTAATTTAAAAATAAAACAAACCCAGAAGGCTGCTGCCATTGCAGTCTGTGTCTCTGCCCTCCATGTGCCCCTGACACACAGGAGACTGTCTCAAGGGACCCACAAACCCGCTAACACCAGGGTTTGTGAGGGGTACCCCCATGCGTGCCCAGTGACACATGAAACCCCAGAGTAGGTGGTCCACCAAACTGCTGAAGCCACTATTCATGTCTGGGTTCCAGGGTTCGCATCTGCTTGGGAATGCGGAAACAGGCAGTCTGTGACCACTGTCAGCACAGCCCACCTCTGGCTCCTGTGCTTGCAGTGGAAGGTCTGCAGGCACAGAATCAGGCAGTCCATGAATTGCAGAACCTGCAGTCCATGTCTGGGCTCTACCTTCATCCTGAACTCCCTGGAGTCACAGGACCAAGTGGTCTGTGATCACACCACCAGTGCAGACCACTTCTGGTTCATACTCGTGCCCTGAGCTGATAGTGGTCACTAGATCAGATTGTTAAGTGAAATAAATCAGACTCACAAGCTTAAATATTGCATAACTTTTCTTATATGAGAAACCTAAAATATAAATTAATTTAAAAATAAGGACATCATGATTGGTGTCTAAGACCTGGGAGAACTAGGTAAATTCACCATCTGCTGGGAGAACTGGGACTAAGCAACACACCCCAGTGGCCACTGAAGGGCAACTTTGACCACCAGGAAAATTAGGGAGGTTAGTGACCTTTGCTGAGCTGACAGGGAGGAAAAGGACTGAACGCTTTACTGCCAACATCAAACATGACAAGACAAAGGACTAAAACACAATCTCAGAACTCCACCCCCTCTCAGAACAAGTCCAGGAGATATCAACATAGGAGAACTTGGTAAACACACTCCTGAAATTGCTCAAATGATTGCAATGGAAGTGAAGAAACAACTCCATCAGGCCAGAGAAGAGATCAGATCAGAAATAATTTCTCAGGCAAAAAATGAAATGACAATAATAATGAAAGAACTGATCAGCACATCTAAAGAAGAAACATATAAAAAAATAGATGAACATAGGCAATGGATGGAAATATTAAATGAAAAATGTAGAAATGAATTAGAATGCATGAAGCAGATTCAAAGAGATATCCAGGAAATCAAAGCTTCCACTGAAAGCTGCAAAAACCATCTGAATGAAGCTGAAGATAGAATTTCAGATTTTGAAGACAGTATGGCAGCTAGCAATCATGAAAGAAAGGATCACTTAAAATCAACAAGGAACCAGGAAAAATCAATTCAACAGCTGCAAGACGAGGCAAAGAGGAATAATGTATGACTAATAGGAGTCAATGAAACAGCAGGAGGCAACACAAAGGGTATGAAAAGAATATTTACAGAAATAATAGCAGAAAATTTCCCAGCCATGGAAACAGAACCTGACATACAGTTAAATGAGGCATATAGAACTCCAACTAACTATAACCAAAATAAAACTACACCCAGACATAATAGTCAAGATCCCAGATCTCCAGCAAAAGAAGAGAATATTAAAAACTGCTAGAGAAAAGAAACAGATTACCTGTAAAGGAAAGCCCAACAGAATCACAGCAGACTTCTCAACACAAACCATCCAATCGAGAAGAGCTTTGAATGAAGTCTTACAGGTCCTGAGACAAAACAGCTTCCAGCCAAGACTGATGTACCCTGCCAAACTTTCCTTCAAATTCAATGGAGAAATGAAATTTCCATGACAAAGAACAACTGAAGAACTTTATAAGTGCCAAACCATTGTTGCAATAAGTACTAAAAGATATTCTAGACAAAGAAAAACACGACCACAATTTCAAGAACAACAATAGAAAGGAACTGTCAAGAAGAATAAGCAATTAAACAGGTACAAAAAGTAGGAAACCAACAGCAAGTAAATAACATGACAACGATAAGTCAACACACTGGTTATACCCATAAATGAAAATGGCCTCAATTCACCAGTCAAAAGAAACAAACTGGCAGAGTGGATTAAGAAACAAAATCCAGGGGGCTGGGGATTTAGCTTAGCAGCACAGC